TACGGGTAACAAACAATCATAGAAGAAAGTTAAGATAAAACTATGAATTGCTTAAACATTGTACATGCGAGCTTGAAATTTTATAATTTATATTTTGTCTAAAAATCAATTGTTTCCAGCTTTATCAAATTTATAAAATTATCGAATTAGATACAACTTGGTTGTTGGTTAAGTTTATTTTCTTAATTTAAATATTTCAGATTTGAAATTACAACCGATAGAAAAAATTTTAGTTTCGAAGAATAAATTAAAAACCTAACAAAATTAAGCAGATAACGTATGATAAAGACCTTTATAAAAACGTGAGGTGAAGAGACGAATAGAATACGCTACTTTTGCATTACAAAAGGCAGAAATTTAAGCAGTAGGTCAACGTCAGTTCGGCATATGACACATTCAAACTATTACATACATACCATTCGGAAACAGAAATTCGAAGTGAAAATCGTAGATAGAATGTTTTTATATGCATCTATATTAACTTCAGTGGACTGTGCGTATATATATGAATATTTAAATACATACGCGTGAATGTTTATATACCTATAAGTCAGTATGTACGTATTGGAACAAGTAACACCCAATATATTAAATAGAAATTTCTCAATTTGTTAGATCAACCAACCCTGAAAATCTTTTTGCTGACCTTAGACATTATTAAAGTTAAGTTAGATTACTGCTTAAAATTTATTTTTTTTATTCATAAATCATGATGTGTCACAGATTGTTGTATGTCCGGACATCAAAGTAATCAAGTACACAAATGAAGTACAAAAAGGCAAAAATGAGGTAGTACTCTTTCAATTGACGTTCGCTAACTAAAGCAGCTACTTGTTATTATTTAAAAGCACTACAATCTTAAGTTATTTTTTACGAAAAATTGGTAGTGCACAAAATACAAACAAAATCCACATTTTTAGTCATGGCATCACAAAGAGAAAAAACAGCTAGAGTTGTTAGAGCGGCGGCAGCTAGAAACAACACAGAATGAGCAGCTAGAAGACGAAGAAACTTCAGAAGGAGTCCAAGAAGGTAGTAATACAGCAAAACCTTCGACCCTGCTCACTTTACCCCTCAAGCAAAAGTTTGATACACAGGACCTAAATTGTTTAATGAGTCTTTAAAATTAGATAAAAAGCTTGAAAATATGTTTGGGTGGGATCCAGGAAAAATCAAATGAAAAGTTTATAAAATTCGATGGTTCCTTGAAGATAGAATACAGGTTATATAAGCTAGAAGAGAAGTTAGGACAAGGCATACATACTAAAAACTCTAAAAAAGGGAATAATAAGATGTGGAACGAGTTAGATGAAGTAATAAGTCAATTTGTTGAGTGCACTAACTTGATAAAGTAGAGGTTCCTTGAAACTGAACAACTTTAAAGTGTTTATTAATCAATCGACTTTGACATACCAGTATAAAGGTTTTCTTCACGTGTTTCTTTATATATAGTTAAATCAAAATATTTAGCTGCTTATCTTATGCTAGAGTTAAGCAAAATGGTGAACTCTAAATCGGAAACATAGGTATCAGAGTAATTTTAATAGAAACAAACCAACGAGGTATATTCTGCTTTGTCCTCAATCTTGAAAGTTCTATCAAAGTCAAAATGTACGATTTAATCAAAAACTGGTACACAGAGACGTCTATGGTAAAAATTTAATTCAAAATATAGAGCAAATCTGTAAACACATAATTCTGATTTATTAATTTAAAAAATAAAGAGACGGATGAGGCGATAGGAAAGGAGAGAGACAAACTTCTTGGACTAAGACGTAGAAGACCTCGAAAGGACTTAATGACAGAAGATGCAAAAAACTTAGAAAATACTTGTGAGACCTACATGGCAATAACCGTAGAAAGGCTAACTTGCGACGATAAAACTACTTAATAACTGTTGACCAACATAAATAGTGATCAACAAAATTACAAAGAATTGAAGCCTTTTAGATTCAACAACGCGATACCCTAAAGAACTTCTATGGTCACAAACCAAGGACTTCATAGACAGCGAAGAATGAGAGAAGAAGATAGAGATTTTGAGCGACAATCTTGATAGAAAACCGTCAACTTACAGAGAAGTAGTGGGAAGTCTGATATACCTCACTAACACTATGACACCTAATATTTACTACACCATCAATGTACTAAGTCTTTATCAAAATTGTCCTGTGGAAGAAGATTGGTAAATAGTGACCCAAGTTATCAGTTATCTTGCTGGTAATTGCCAGGTAAAGTAAATCGCAATGAGTGAAACGTGTCAAGAAAAGATTTTTATGAAAAATGTGCTAAAAATCATAATGGACTGTTCATTCTGGTCGACCAACTTGTATGGTGCGATAACAAAGATACTGAACGTAGTGCAAACATTTGGGGAGAGTGCACACTACGTCATATGCTAGAAGTGAGAAGGTATTGTGTCACAGAATGTGAAACAAAGAAATTAATAACAACTAAATAGATAAGATCCTAAAAACAATATGCAAGAATTTTCATTAGTCCACTCTACTTGGAACGACATAAAAATTTGACGCACTTTATCTTAAATAATGGGTGTTGTTTAGACAAGTCAAACTGACCGAAACGACCTAATACAGTCGCCCAGGAGCCAGGGGTTAGCTCATTTACAAACTTACTTTATCTTATTTTCTTTAAGTTTCAATATTTCTTTCTGACCATTCGAGTAAAAAGCGAAATCGTTTCTGTTGTATTAATTATTTTGATTTAATGACCGAATATTTTTTTATTACCTACCAAGTAAGTCTAGGTTATAATGTTAAAATTTTTATGTGAACAAACTATAATAAAAATGTTAACTTTTAACTCTTCAATAAATTTATAAGTTTATGAGATCATCCAAAAAAGGGACTAATGGTACAATACGCTTTTGACATCCATGATAAACACTAATCTTTCTAATGGCAATATAGTCACTGCGCGCAGCTAGCCCCTCATGACAGTTCTCTTCACGATCCACTTCTGAATAACCGTTCACTACTATATTGTTATTGTGTCTCCTTCTCCAGAATTCTTACGCGAGTGAAAAAAATCTGTCACACCTAACCTACGAAAAAAGAGCAGTTTTGGGATATTTTTTGAAATCAATAAAACCAATTTCAAAGTGTTTTGTTCAGAAATGTTTATAAAAAAGTTTTGTAGTTGCTACAGTGTGTAAGTTCACTAAATTATTGGTTTCTTCTAATACTTAATATTGAAACATAATCTCGAATGCATCAAAACAAGAGTAACTTTAACGTAATATCTTTATACAGAAATAAGATACAATGATTATTTTTCAATTCGTAGGTAATCGAATAGAAAATACAGACATACAATAGCCAAAATCCGAGAATGCTGACCTAACTTTGAAAATAAGTAGCTTCTCTGTTTTTTCTAAAAAATCAAGTAATTATCAGGTCTGCTACCCTGACTAACGGTAAGCAATTGGTCATTTGGGGAGCTACCTGAAGACGAACATTCTTCGACCAGTCGCGTACCTCCCTCCAGCATGCTCTTTGTACACAGAGAATCCGAGAAAAAGAATCAAGCTATCCTGGGTCCAAGTACCCAACTACTGCGATCCCCGTCAACTGGTCCAAGTCAAGTAGCAGATTTGCGCTGTTAACAGAACTCCAGTCCCGTTTTTCACCGACTCTCTATCATTAATCATTATAAGTCACGACTGAAAGTATCACCTCTGTAAAATCAAGGCCTCTAACGACCCACTTACTAAACTAGGAATCACTGATCCTTTGCGAGGTTTGCTCTCGGCAAACTTGATCTCGAAGCTATAAAGAAGAAACATACTTGAGCGAACGGAACAATCTTTAATAGGCAAGTAACATAAAGTAATATCCACCTTGGACTGTCAGAACAAACAAAGAAAAGTTAATAAAGAGCACTACAACTAGCTTCATCGTGTTTTTCCTCTGGACCAATCTGATGCTACAACAAATCAAAGGATAGCCTAAGTTATCCATTTAGTCACTTTCAAGTCGCTAAAAAATTCAGTCAAGAAAGAGTTACGGTCACTGATCCTTTGTAGTGTCAACAAATATTTCATAATGTAAGGAACGTACGGTACTTCTCAGCAACGTCATATTTTTTAAATTTAATTTTATATTATATCAAACTATTTTATACACTGTACTTTTTAATTAATAAATAACTTATCATCAAAGTAAAGACATGAGCAGTTGGTAATCAGAGCTAATGTTACTTTTATATTTTATGATTACAAATTATGCATTATAATAATTATTTCATCATCATAAATTATTGCAGTTGGTGCATAATGCATGCAAGGGATGGAGCCTCACTGGTGTATATGTACAAATACACTTAAATGGAGAATACAAAAAATGAGTTGCGTATGTTCTTAAGTTAAATTATTTTGAACAAAGGTGGAACATTAATCTAAATCGAATGTTGTAAGAAATTTTCTAAAACTTGTATTTCTGCACTGTAATTATTCAACAAAAATGAAGCTTGTGTGTCAATGGCTGACTTGTAATATGTTTTTAGAAAAATTCTGATGAATTGAATTTTCCTCTTGATTGCGATGAACAAGTGTTTAGTCATCATAGGATTCATGTTAATTTGATGATACGATATTTTTAATGGTGCAACTCACGACAAACTAAAATATTAAAAGAATGAGAAAAGACTATAACGAATTGAAAATGTAAACTGATTTCGTTCGGTTGTAAAATAACAAGGACGAACAAGCTTACATTAATGATTTTGGTATTCTGATGTTGACTAAATTTGAGCCATTACATGTTAGATGTTTAAACCTAGCCAATATCTAATAAGATATTACTTAGCCAATGTCTAATAAGGTATTACTTTACCTATTAATTTAATCAATTTTTTAAGACACATACTAGATATGCGTGGACGGATTTATAAAAGTTATCAAATTAATAGAAATACATTTAAGTTTTATATACAGCGTTTGTTCCTATATTGTAAATAGTGTAAATTAGATTTTTACATACGTTATGTTTATGATCAGAAACTGGTTTGAAATTTTGGACAGCCCTTTCAAGTTGTTGTACTTGTCTTTGAGGTATCGAAGCTTCTTTGATACTTGCAAGTTTAAGTTTCATGTAAGTGCTATCAGCTGAAATATTCATGTTTTTGTATTTATGTGTAGTTAAATTATTATCTTAAAAAACAATATACGTATACCTTGAGGTCTACATTCAAGTTTTTGGACGATTTTTCCTTCCATAAGTAACTTATCATCTTCTGTTGAAACTATTTCTGATCTATTTGAAGCTAAAAAAAATACATGTTAAAAAAAGAAATACTTTTTTTTTTTTTCGTTTTTTATAAGCTGAGTAAAAAAACTTTTCCTCAAAGAATTTTAGGTTTAAGCTGAAAAGTAAAGGCTTAGCATTCTTGTTTTTTTTTTTTTTTTTAATATAAAAGTTACTTTTCTACTAACAGTGTAAAACACGCATGGAAAATTTTTCTTATATTTTAATACTAATTAAAAATTGCTTCTGAGAAAACTTATCTTCTGAATGAACGATAAATCATAGTTCGACAGTTAACAAAAATCACAAAGTAATAAGTTTGCCTATTCTGGCTCACGTGGAAAATTTTTGGGCGGATGACGGATTCACAGAAAAAAATTTTTAAGTTTAGTTTTTTATGTATGACTTAACATTGGAGATGATATATATTATATCGGAAGGTTTAAAGTACTCCATTTATTTTTGTTATATAAAAATGGTAAGTCAAATAAAAAATAAAATTCATACAGTTTGAATTACTTGAAACATTAGGATGAATACCGATCGTCAAGATTATAGTAGTTATTTTTATTACGTAATCTTTTATAAAATTTAGTTACCAGACAGATGCCTGAGTCCATTGACCCGAACGGATGAATTCTAGAATGACTATTTGCTTGAATATTTTCTACCTGAATCTATTTTTCCAAATTACATGTATCCGAAAGGCCCTCGCCTGAAAGAGAAAAAAAGGACTTCAAGGGGTGTAACGTTTACTATAGTTTACGATTCTTTTAAGATAAGGTGACATTATTTCCTATATCCTTGAAAAAGTTAAGTTCCCGGAGTTTGTCTTTGTACGCGTCATAATTATCAGCAACGTATTGCAGTCACCTCTGAAGTTCACCCAATTTTTTCTTTGGCGAAGCTTTGACCTTTTTTCCTGAGGATTAATTCAGCTACAGTCATGTCTATGCTAGCCATTTTTTTCTGGAATTCTGTTAATGACAAATATAAGTTTGAATCAATCAAGCAATAACGAGTCGGAATCTGCTATGCCATCCTTCATTTGAATTGCTGGTCTTGTGCAGACCCAAGAGAGCTGCAGTGTGCTGATTCCATAATGCTGGTTCGCAACGTAGTGAAATACGTAATCGTCTACTCCTTCCTAGTCTGCCCGTGACACAAGTCAGGTCAAAGTAGATTAGGACAAGCAGTAAATCCTCCAGGGCATCTTTTTTTAGTTAGTCGTAGACTCTAGCAACGTCATCGACAGGTAAAAATGCAAGTGCCAGCATCATATCTGGACATAAAATAGCATCAGTTGGTATCGGTCCAGAAGCTATTTTAAATCAAGTACTGATCTTAGATTAGGTAGCAGATTTCTCAAACGCACTCTGCATACTTTTTTTCAAACCTTTCTCGCTCTGGCAATTGACTTAACACACCGCCAGGAACGTTTACCAGCTATATATACAAGAGCTGAGCGCGGAGCAGTTTCACACTCTTCTCAATTTGATGGATAAGAATGCACCGACTGCTTAGGACGTTTCACAACAATGATAGTCTTTCAGTCGGGTGTAGTTGCACTCATAACATTTGCCTGCTCGAAGTTTTCTGCTGTTCTAGTAAATTTTTTCTGTGCCTTTCGTCGTAATGGTAATTGTAACCACCAATAAGAAATGTTGTATCAACAATTTTCGCCATGATGAAGTAGAGAGGTGTACGTCAAAATTGATTACAGATGTATAAATAGTTTAGCCTTGGTTTTCAGAGAAATTATATAGATCTATTCTCAGTGTGCGATAAGATTTCATTTAGAAAAATTGCCATTTAAAGGTTTGGATTCGGGCACATGTTTGTCATATTAACGGATTTAGGTAGAAAAAATATGGACAAATTTTTTTTGAGATATTTGTCCATTCAGGTAAAGTGATTCGGGCAATTGCGCGGATATCTTAAGGTAAAGGGGTACAAAATTTGTAATAAATACAGATGCATCCCAAAAGTCATTTTGATAATAATTTTTATGATCCCTATCATCTGAATCTAAATATGTATAATTTTGTGTGAATAGCTGACTCGTTGTTTGCTGTCCTGAACTTAAATCTATTTTGAATTTGCCAAAAAAATTTTTTTCATTACAATTCCGCAGCATTTCATTGCACAATATCATCAATATTCCTTTTAATGTATGATTAAGCAGAGACATTACATAGTAAGGTTTACGTCAGAATACATTGTCAGTGCTTTACTGATACTCTCAGTATCATAGTCATTTTTGTCATTTAAATCAACGTTATTGGTTGTTGTTTGTTGAATTTTTATCGCAAGATAAAGAACTTCTGTTGTATGTTTATTGGCGAGCTCGGTAGCTTGTTTGATTTTTGTTTGTTAATATCTGTCACAAGATACACGAGATCTTCCCCTGTTTCTAGCCTCAATCTGGACTTTTAGATTAGATGAATTAATACTACTTGATGTACCACTTTATGCTTCATTACTGTTTGATGGACAAGCATCGTTTAATTGAATACTGAAATTTTCATTTAAAAGATCCTTGAATTTTACTAAAAAAACATTTTTTTTTTTTGAGAAACATAATTTCCTTTATCTTCATACAAGCAAAGAAAATTTCTAGTTAATTCATTTCTCACGGTCATTTTAACTAAACTAGACACATTATACTGATTTTTAAAGGTATCTCCGATAACGTTAAAATTAAATAGTGTATTATTCATATTATCCCAAATCCATTTACAGAGATCTATTAAGACTCTATTAGCATGGTGGAAGTAAAGTATGGTTGTTGGAAAAAAATTTTCTTTTTACGGATATTAATAAGGTCATATGTTACTTACAATTAGTTTTTATTTTTTAATTCCATTGTTAATGGTTTTTGAAATAGTAATTGTAAAAAAAAATTTGTGTGATTATTAACGGAAGAGAATTTTCACTCATTGGTTGCATATGTGTTGCTTGACTACTGTGGTAATCCAGTTCTTTAATTAATACTTAGCAGTGGATGTGGTATTCTTACGACTAAGATAAACATTTGTCAAAAACGGTTTTGATTATTAATGCACAAAATTTTTTTACGAAAGATTTATAGTATAACGAAAAAAGTATAACGTGCTTGTTTTCATTATGTTAACAGCATATTAAAATTCTAGGAACCGTAGCATCACATTTTTTGAGGAAAAAAGAGCAAACCTAAGATCTTATCCACAGGCTCATTGTCATTGGTTTTTGAAACAATAATTGTGAAAAAAAATTGTTTTACAAACACCCATATACCATAACTACCACCACATTAATAGAGTCGTAATAAATGCCGAATCTAAAAATCGGCATTTGCGTGCAATGCAAGTGAGTACTAATGTATTCATAATATACCTTCCCTTACCAAACAACCTTGTAGAAAAATCTGCAGGTAATCCAGTAGAGTTATTGGGTCCATTTCCTGCAAAAATCCTGCAAAATTTTCTGCAGGAATTACTATAAAGAAGTACTTTTAAAAGAATATTTTTGTAACTTACTTAAAANGATCCTGTTATAAGCAATATAACAATAATGGTTGAGAGGGGCATATAGAATCTGATTCCTAAGGCCAAAGAATTCATCATACCACTTGAGTAGGTGAATAACGTGATACTTAAAAGTTTTATAATTAAGTATAGCTAAAAAATTTATGCATGTTAATCATAAGTAAAATCAACCAACCTCATCTGTATAAATAAATAACTATTACACGACACAAACTCATGAATGTTAATTGAAAATACAAAGTAGTTATCACAATTAAAATACAAGACAAAAAAATAGTAATATGCCACAGATATTGATAAGAGAAAAATTATAAAATAAAAAAAATAGAAGATTATGTAAAACAACTGAGAACATCATCTTTTCACACGATATCAGCTAATTCAAGGTGTTTAAGAGCAGCTTGAACACCTTCTTTAACAACCTTAGCTATGTTTGCATAATGTAGTTAATTTTTGAAACGTCTTTTTTCATTTGTTTTGTTGCAGATTCAATTTGCTAAATCTCTATTTCACTTCAGTCTTAAATTTATCCTATATTATTCCAAAGAAGCAAGCCTACCTTGTTCCGGGTTGCTGAAGATGCTTACGTTACTGCATTGGCTTCAAAAGCTAGGTGCACGTCCTTTATCCTGATATGGCTATTAAAAGCCCGGTAAACCCAGCTGACCATCTGAAATATCTTTGTATCCCCCAGAAATACAAACTAACCAACCTAATTTTTGAAACGGTTAGTGTAGTCGTACATTATATGCATTACATTTTACATCACAAGCTGGCTGATCCACCAAATCATCTATTCCTTATTTTACGTAACTTTTTAAACCAACCCCTATTATGCAATAAGTACGTTCACTGACCTAAAAATCAGAACAGCGTGTAAAATAGCTCATTTTTCGTTAAATAATTGAATATCTATAACTCAAGCAATCTTACTTAACCTTGTACTGCTCGTTTGTTATTACAATAATAGATTTTCCACTACAAGTACGCAAAACCATTACAACTCACCCATCCTACAAACCACTTAACCCCTACATACCACCAGTACCAAAACTTCAAGAACGTTAACCTAATTAATCCTTGAAATAATTAGTTAAGATACTTTTTTTTCAAATGATTGAATATCATACTACAAGCCGACTAACTCACCTAATCATATATGTCTTACCTCACCCTAACCCCGAAAAACACCTCACTGTAGGCAGAATTTTTATGTGTAGAGGAAGAAGAAGCGCATTGACGCATACCGTAGGAACTACGGTAGTGTGAATTTACATGGATTTTTTTTTTAAGCCATCTATCTCATATGCCACGTGGCTCTAGTTCCACCTCAGCACCACGTTAACATCACTTTAGGGTAGAGTCATTAGTGAGATCATCGTATCTTACAGGATAAGCGGTTAGCTTGCCACCAGTTACTAGAGGTGTCAATCTTCTTGAGTCCTGAAAAGGACTGGGGGTCCCTGAGAACCAGCACTGGTACCTAGCCCTT